ATATATATATATATATGAGAAGGATTAAAATGATATTAGTATAATTTTTATCAATTATTATACTGTTAAATAATTTTATATTAAATATGAAATTTTTTAAAATTTATTATTAGATTAAATATTTCTCACTTTTAGTTTATATATATAAAATTTTATATGAATTCAAGCATTTGATACTCATTTATATAAATAAAAATTAATGTAATAAATACTTGTTAAAATATGATTAATTTGATTATCTTAAAATTGTCATTTATTTTTAATAAAATTTGACATAAATATATAACGTGACATAAAATTATAATTATCGGTTAGATTGAGAAATTTACATTTATTATGAATTTATTAAGTGGTGTGATAAGTAGTAAAAATTGTATTAATATTATTTAATTTCTCTATATAATTAAAAGGAAGTGTATTAAACAATATATTTATTATGAAAGAGAAAATTATATTATAAGTATATATTTACATGATTTATTAAATTTTTAAAAAATATTGATAAAAGATTAAAATAAAGTAGATATGGAAAAAATGAGAAACGAAGAAAATAAAAGTACTTAGAATTTGTTGGATTTAAAAGTATATAATTTGATTTCTCATTTGATAATGATCGGATTTATTGATTAAAATTTATTAAAATTTTAAAATTAAAAGTTATTAATTATGAAGTGACAATCAAATAAATTATTGTTTTTCAATAAGTCATGTTATTAAAGAGTTTGTTCAAAACATTATACTGGAGGATGTATTATTTCTCTATATTGTAACGACCCGGCTAGTCACTACACACAACACAGTACACCTGAAAACCGGACAGAAAGGAACAAGTGCATACCTATAGTGTCTAGAATATACATATATACATTGTCCAAGTTTGACTAGATTCAAAATGTACAACAATACAACCAAGTTACTACATCAAGTAACTGAACAACAAAACATCAACTAAGACCAGCTCCGCCTGCCAGCTGCAGACTCACCACTAGCCACCCACCTATCCCTGTTCTGCTCCCATACATAGTATGATCATTGCAGTCCAAACCACATGGAAACAACAAAGGGTAAGCTAGTATAAAAAGAACAACGTATAGCAAGATTTAAGTAATATGTACAACTACAACTATCAACAAATCGTCAGCCTACATCTCATTGATTATACAACAAACCAGCAATTGGAAAATATTGCGTCGTCACGCATATCATCTCGGAGATCTCCTACAACAACTCAGCCATTATGGCCTACAACAACTCAGCCATTATGACCTACAACAACTCAACCATTATGGCCTACAACAACTCAACCATTATGGCCTACAACATCTCATATCATCATACAACACAACACAACTTTACAACACAACATATCATCTTACAGCACAACATATCATCTTACAGCTCAACATATCATCTTACAGCTCAACATATCATCTTACAGCTCAACATATCATCTTACAGCACATCAAGACATCTTACAACAATATTCATCTAATACAACTCAACATCATCAACAACATTATCTACTAGTCATCACATCATATTCAACCAATTCAACTTAACTCAGCATAAAACAACATTAACCAGCATATAGTAAAATCTCATCTCCGCGCCCGGCGCCCTCGTGGTTGCGCCCAGAGCAATACAACCAGAGAGCACTAGGGGGGTCAACGCGCCCAGCGCAAGTATGCCCGCGCCTGGCGGGACTCAACTAGAGAGCCCAAGGCTCACACGTGCCTGGCGCAATACCAATTGCGCCCAGCGCAGGCCAGGCAGAGACTCCAAGGAGTATCACGCGCCTGGCGTGCCTAAACCCGTGCCCAGCGTGGGGAAGGCAGAGACCTCCCTTGGTCTCGCGCCCAACGTAATTTGAATTGCGCCCAGCGCCCACAAGGCAGAGACTCCCAATGAGTCTCACGCCCAGCGCGACAAGGGTCGCGCCCAGCGCAGAAATCAAAAACCCCAAAATATGTTACAACTAGTATCGCGCCCAGCGCGGTCCATGTCACGCCCTGCACGAACCAGCCAGAGATCAACATTCTCAAGCGTGCCCGGCGCACACATCATCGCGCCCGGCGGGCTTGCCTAAATGGAGTCTCCTGGTGGCCACGCGCCCAGAGCGAAGAACTGCACTTTGCGCGAAGGTCAGCAGCAACCTCACCAAGTTCGAAAATTTGCCCAAAACCTGCAAAAATCCACAGAAACTTCACATGCAATCCATCCAAAGTGCCACATTTTCATCAAACATCTAAAAAATGCCATCTTTTTCAACATGCAATCCCAATTTAAGGAAAACCCAAAAATTTCCATCAAAACCTCAAAACTTCAAAAGGAACATTTCTACAAAAAATTCAACCAATATCAACAGTAATTGAGCTTGCAAAACTCATTCTCAACCAACAAAAAAAAAATCAACAACAAAACTAGCTTCCCTTACCTCGGTGAAGAATCTGAACTTCGGGAAGACTAAGAAGCTTGAACGAAGAGGAGAACGAAAGAGAAGATAAGGAGAAGGAATCCATCTTCCGACTAGCTCCACACGGCTTGCGTTTGAGAAGTTCAACCTCTAGGAAATCACCTCTTCAGCTAGAGAGAATGGAATTTAAGAGAGTATGGTAAAAGAGAGAATGGAAGCATAGAGAGTAGAAGTGAAAGTGAGGGAGAGAAAAGGGAAATAGGTGTCTCACAATATATTTTATTGTTTGAATTGGTTTGATTTAATTTATAAATTCAAATGAATTTATGATCATGCTTAACTTTTCATCGAGATTCTCTATAATTTAGTCATAATTTAACTAATAAAAAATAATGACATATTAACATAAATGTATTAATAGTAAAAATATGGATTAAATATATTTTTAATTTTAAATATTTGTTAATTTTTATTTTGTTCAAAATTTTTTTTATGGTTTTAGTCTCAATTTTTTTTCAGGAACAAAATTTTTTTACCTTAGGACCAAAGTGTTGGTGAAAGATAAGGTTCAAAGACTTGAAATGAAAATCAACAAAAAAATTCAGAGACTAAAATTATTAAAAAAGTTATTCAAAGACTAAAAAAAATCAAAAAAATTCAAAGATAAAATATATTTAATAAAAAAATATTTATTTATTTAAAATTTTTATTACTTAATATTTTTAAATAACAGAGAACTCATGACAAACGAACATAATTGTACAAGAGAACATTAACTTATCTTTAGCAAGAAAAAGAAACTAATTCAACTTTTAAATATAATAACAAAAATATGATTTGAAAACAAATGAACATAATTATACTAGAGAACATTAACTTATCTTTGAAAAGAAAAAGAAACCAATTCAACTTTCAAATACAATAGTAATAATATGGTTTGAATGGACATATGAGGTTATACTATTAACTAATGAAAAGCTGTTGTTAATATGACTTTTAAAGTAGTTATTATAAAAGCTAACACATTTATTATAAATGGAGACATATAATTGAATCATGGTATAAAATTACTTTACATTATTAGTACAAAAACTTTTCTCTTCCAAAAATATATAATAAAAACATAAACCATACACAAAAAGTGGTGAAAGGTGAGTTGACATAGTATGAATTAAAATTAGGTGTTTATTTCTTGTACCTATAATTTTATATTATACATTATTTAGTGACGGATCTACATAATAGTAAGGGTGGAGAGATATACACTCCCATTTTAATTAAATTATTAGTATATGTGTAATAATATGATATTTTGTACCTTTAATTTTATATATTAAATTTATAATGATTACTTTTGATATTTAAGTTTTGTTCTTTGAATATATGATGATTATTAATTTTTATTCTCTTAAAAAAATTGTCCTCACTAATCCAGGATTTTGGATCTGTCACTACACCTATCATTTTTTTAAAAAAAGTTAATGTTCCTAAAGTACCATATAACTTTTTTTATTTTGGACTGACCAATATTAAAAATGTGTTTCATAACACTCATTCTAAAGTTTTAAAAGTGTACTTTAAAACACTCAATATAAAATGTTAAATTGTTTCAAAACACATATTTTAAAAATATTACAAATATATTTCAAATTTTTTTTTTCTACAATGAAAATTTTTATATAATTTAATTTTTAATGCAAACTCCTTCGTTGAGAAGATATCAAAATGTGTTCTAAAATACCTATTTCAAAATATTAAAAATATATTTCAAAATATATTTTTTGAATTGAAAATTTTGATAGACTTTACACTTTTTTTTTACGAACTCATCCTTGGAGAAGACATCCAAAGTGATAACATAATCTAGAAAAGGATTAACAAAACATATTTCAAAATATATTTTTTGAATTGAAAATTTTGATAGACTTTACACTTTTTTTTTACGAACTCATCCTTAGAGAAGACATCCAAAGTGATAACATAATCTAGAAAAGGATTAACAAAACATAGATTTATTTTTTTAAAGAAAGTTTCTCTCAAATTCTCACATACCTAACTACTAGTGATTTCGATTTTCAACATCCCACCCTGTGGATCCATTTTAGAACTAAGAAGAAAAACAAAAATAAAAATGAAAAATTTAATTTTTTTTAATTCTTTTATTTCGAGTGTGATTTGAAAAAGATAAAATTAAAAAGAGTCTCATGAAGTGGGAGAAGGTTTATAAAACTCTTACTTTGTATCTCTTTTAAAAAAATATTATATATATATATATATATATATATATATTAAATTTAACTCAAAAGTCATTTTTTATATTCTTAAAAATTTATTCTAAAACATTTATCTATAAAAAGTATGTAAATATAATTTTTTTTTCAAAACTCATATTTTATTTTTTATTTTATTTTATTTACTAAAGATATTATTACTAACTTTAACAAAACTTCACTTTAAAATTTATTTTTATATCTAAAGCTATGTTGGGCCACCCTTTGGACACAATCTATGTAAACAAACTCACTGCCACATACGTTCCTTTGTAATCACATCAATGTAGGCTTAAATTTTTAGTGGTGTAATTCTTTTAATTTATAATTTAATTATATAATATTAAAATTAATATAATGTATTAAAATTAAGTTAATTTCACCTTATTTCATATATATACTTGCACTTTAATAGAATAGAATTTAAATTTTAAAAAATCACCTAATCATAAAATTGGTTCGACTTTAAATAAAAATAAATCTAACCCAACAATAATATTTATGTTATTGGTGGTGTTTCATTGTACCACCAAATCACATAAGAAATAATTTTCTAAGTAAATTTAGTTAGTAAAAAACATAGCACAATTACATGTAATAGAATCCACACCTTCCAATGTCTAATTAATAAATCTAGCTATTATTATATACCATTAGAACAAAAGAATCATTTGGTGATAACAGGTGATATTAAAAATATAAATTATATTTATATTTTTTATTTTTAAGATTTAATTTAATTTAATTATTTTAATTAATTTAGTTTAATTTTTCAATTTTTAAAATATATTCAATTTTGTCTGTCTGCTTAAATTATCATTAATAATATTAATGAAATAAAACGAATTGACAATACTAAATATTTTCTGAAATTAGATAATTAATTTAAACTATTTAAAATAATATGATCAAATTAAATATTTTAAAAATAGAAAGACTAAATTAAATTATAATTTTTTTAATAAATTTGTTATTTTTTGACTAGATTAATTTTAATTTTTTTTATATAATTTCTTTATTTTGTGATTATTATTTTTTATTATAAATATTTAATTTTTTGTTTTTCATAATCTTATTTAAGTAATTAAGTCTATTTTGATGAATCTTACTCAATTTTAATATTTTTTTTTAAAAATTGGATTGAACCATCTCATTCAATTGATGTGATCGTGGATGTGGTGTGTTCCATTAGAAAAAAGAAAAACTGCTTCAGACTAAGCTGGTAAATTTTTTTCTAACTAATCTAAAACCAACAAAAAAAATCAGGGAATAAAAAAAACATTTTTATTTAATTAAGATTTTAATTTGATCTAATTTCTTTTAAGACAAATAAAACACTTATTTAATATTACATATAAAGATTTTAAAATTAATTTATCTCTTTATCCTTATAATTTCAAATTTAAAAAATAGATATTTAATATATAATTATATTAAAACTATTTTAAATCTCTTATCTCGCCTTCAAATTTCTCCAATACTAAAAGAGGGAGCTAAAATTATATGAAGGGAGTTTCGCTTCTCTTCCTTTCAAATTGAACCAATTTTTTTTTTTAAAACTCTTCCCTTGTCCTCCCCTCCTATCAAATATTATGTAAATTTTTAAATAGTTGTTGGTCTATGAATATCAGAATTTTATTTTATTTTTACCATTTTAGATAAATATTTTCAGTTATAAAAAACTTTATTACATTTCCTTAATTGTTTTTATAATTTGAAATAAAAGTTAGTTTTAATTTTATGTAAAATCGGCATATTATTTTTGTGTAAGCCATTATTTGTTACAAGTTAGATATTTTAATAATTATAAAAAAAAATATGCCGTACGTCTTTAATAGAGTTGATGTTTTGATCCGTTACTCCTGTTGGAGGTGTTACGGATTGACGATATTATAAATATTTAGATTTAGTTATATTTTTAATCTTTGTAAGCTTATTAAATTTTGATTACAATTTTTTTTTTCTTTTTTAAGATTTGAAATCATTGTTTCTGATTCTTATAAAATAACTGAATTTAGATTTTAGTAATTATTAAAATATATGTTTTTAATTTTTTTCCTTTCAAAATTTATTTATTTTTGTCTCTAAAGTTCATTTTAAAATCAATAGATAAATAATATTTATTTTAATAATTTTAAAGAAAATTCGGAGTATCTTATGCTAATTAACACGGTTATAAAGTGAGTGTTATATAATACTAGATATCAAAAGAATAATTTTTAATATTTCTAGGAATGAAAACAAAATTTATAAAACCAATAAACACATTTTACATGGACTAAAAATATGTTTATGTTTCAATTATGTGTAAGTTAGATACAAACTAAATGAGTTTAATTAGCACTAATTTAATGAAGAGAGATTGAAATAACATGTTCATGCTTCTAAGTTAGAATCATGTAGTGTTCATTGTAATTCTTACGAATTAAATTATGTAAAAGTTGAGTAGAGAATTCGGATATTATATATTATCCAAATTAAAGAACAATGCTAATTAGAAAGATGACCAATTTAAGACATGATGTATTACAATTTTATCTATAACTTCCATTAAGTTTTGAGAAGAATAAATGGTCAAGATTTTGCAAAATTGACCATGCCTTTTTTCTGCCTAAATAGAATAAAATATAAAAAAATAAATTATAAAAAAGAATCACGTTCAATGGCCAAAAGAAGTAAAGAAAAGATGTTGTTACCATTATTATCGGCAATTTTTCCTCGTTGGCTTAAACAACTAAATTTTCTCATGCACATCTTTGTCCCTAATTTCTAAATCTGAGATTCTTGCATTGCTATCAATTTTCATTGCCTTCAAGCTTTGCTGTTCTTCTCAGTATCGCATAGGAGAAAGCAGGTTCATTTTCTAACAGTTCTTCTCTTTTATATTTTGCCATGCAAGACAATGTGACACATATTTTCTTAAGATGGTTTACAAATTGAATAATATAATAATGAGATAAGGTCCTTGGCCTAGAGAGTGTTAAAATATTTTGATAGCTAGGGCATTAGATGAAAGTTTTTAATATTCTGTTGTCATTAAATGATGAAATTTATTTGGAGGTTGTGGCACATGCAAAAGCTGATTATTTTTTACGTCTAATAGACACAATTTGTGATGCTATAGCTCACAAATAATTTGTACTTACAGATAATGTAAACATTAAACACTGAAAATTCAATGATTTAACATAATAGTTAGACTCTCTAAATTTACACATTATGGAGACAATTTATGTGAGAAAAAATCTATATTCAATCTTTGTTGTGTGTAAAAATCCATTGGATGAATATTATAAACGAGATTATTCTTTAATTCAATAAACTAGAGAAAACCTGTGATAGGAAGAAAAAAAAACAATAACACATAATGATATTTTGACACATTATTATCTGTTGTTACATTATTCAAAGAGTTCCCTAGCTTAAATTTCAAGTATTTGTCATCATATTCAAATTGTTTAAATCAAGTGACATCTAATTGTGTCAGATAATATTATTAGAAATTTTATGTTTAATCATTTATAATTCTATTGAATAGAATTGCTTAAAAAATTTCTACATCAAACCTTACTTACTACAAGTACAAAAGGAGGTAAAACTGAGGTGAATTGTTTATATAACATGCTTCTCACTAGCTGTTATATGATAATTTTACTTACTCCATTGATGTTCATTGTGGTTAAGGTTCCAAGCAATTGAAAATGGGAAATCGGAAGACAGAAGAAGAAAGGATTGAAAGAGTAATTCGGGGTCTTTTAAAACTTCCTGACAATCGAAGATGCATCAACTGCAATCTTTTGGTATAAAATTATTCTTTTGCAATATCTAGCACTTGGACTCATACGTGTTCTCTATGGCCATTTTTTTTAACATAAAAGCAAAATTTAATGTAATACTTCTGAAAACTAGCTAACCATCATATTGAAATGCAATTTTTAATTTTGAGGAGTAACATATGCAAGGGAAGGCTATTTTGTTTTATTTTCTAGTTTTTCTTTTGAACACAAACTAGTTCCTAAATATATACATAATGATGGTATACTAGGAGATATTCATATGACACTTGTGGAGAAAAAGATGACAAAACATCGGTTAAAGTGATTTGAACATGTAAAAGAACAAATTACTAGAGATACATCGGTAAAGACATTAGAGGAAAAACAAGAAGGACATTAGAGAAATATGTCTGTAACTTTCTCGATTTGCTAACATTGTTTATGCAAAGATGTTTTATTTGCTGCTATTTCATTGTTGTTACTTTGATGATTGTTGAATGTCTATCTAGTAAGGATGATTGCAAGAAGTTCACACGGGAAAATCAAGTAGAACAAAAAGAGTAACATACAAAATGAAAAATATACTAGAAAAGGTTAGGGGTGAATACCTCACCAAATAGAACTAATAGTTCCTTTAATTAAGGGGGGTGAAAAGTATTTTAATATAGGAGAGAAGGGAAAAAGAAGAAGAAAATGGTCCCTAATTTGATTTGATTCATTTAATTTCCATGTGTTTGTGACATGAACTTTGAGAGAACCGACCACAAAAGCTAACTCATGTAATTGGAGATCTAAAGGCCTAATAAAACTCACACTAGAATTTTATACTTCTAATGTGGGATTCAAGTCCCATACCTTGCAATTAATGAGATCCTAACATCCCACCATCCCTTTAACTAAGTCCTGGGTGAATACTGCAATGTGAGAAACAGAGACAGATCTACGGGGCAAGCAAGGGCCCTAACCCCCCTCTCTTCCCGAAAAAAATCAACATATACATATATAAAATTATTTTATATTTTATTTATATTATATTATACTATAAATATAAGAGTTAATCACCTATACAAGTTTTTTACTCAAATAATATATTTTTAAAAAATATTTACCTTTTTTAATGATCTAGGATTGGTAGGACTTGAGTTTTTCTCAATACACCCCCTCATACCTATGGTGCATGTATCAATGAATGGTAGGTGGCCCATTTTTAAGAATCTAGGATAGCTCTGATACCAACTTATAATAGTGGGTTAGGCCTAACTCAACTCTACAAAACTGGCTTGTAAGGTGACGGTTGCTTTCCACTTATATACTATTTAATTACCTAATTTCTAGTCAATGTGGGACTTGGATTTTTCCCAATAGAGCAATTTGGTACTTTTCGAATTAGACTTTGTTGTCTTCATAAAAGTTGTAGCCTTAGATGTTAGCTTTTCAATGGCTTTGGAATCACCTAAAAAAGAGATCTAGTACTTTAGTTATAACCATTTTAGTGAGTAAAGGTCAAGTTGTCAACATTCGGGCAAGCTATTGCAGTTTTTGTGATTTTCAATATGGTAGATGATGGAATTAGAACCTGAAGTCTTCAAGAGAGTTGTAGATAATCTTTTCATATTTCATATGAGATAAAGATGAGTTGGATTGTATTAGTGGAATCCAATTATGTTGTATTATGTGGAAGTTGTCATTGTTTGCTAATTGATGATTTCATGTTGAAAATGATATGTGTTAATTCTTTTATAGCATATGGTAATATATGATGTCCTAAGTTATTATATGATGACTTTTTTTATATGGATGATGATGTATGAGGATGTTTAAAGTTGTTTACGTTCTGATTGAAGTTATATTGAAATTACTATACATGTTGAAGTTGTAAGATGAAAAATTAGTTGTTAAAATATTGTTTTACAGTTCATGAATGTTGAACTAGTATGTAAGTAAGATAATAGGTTTGTTGATTGTGTGGTAAGTTGAATGTGTTGTAAAGTTGTAAGTCATTTTAGTTGCTTAAGTTGATTTTTGATGTTGTTTGTTCAAGATGTGAATGTTGTAAAGATGTATATTATTTATGTTGTTCAAGTTGACAGTTATTAAAGATGAAAGTTGTAAAGTTACAGTATACACAATGTTATGTTTATTATTTTTGTTAAGTTGAGAGTTGATATAATATTACAGTGAATTGTCTTCATCAAAAAGGGGGAGAATGTGGAAGAACATATGCTAAAGTTTTGATGATGCCAAAGCATTGAAGAAAATAAAAGTCAAATTAAAGCAAGCTGATCAAGAAGCAAGATCTTAAGTAATAACTAGATAAGTCTTGACGGCTTAGCTTAGTACGTAAAATGAACTTTTAGAATTTGCAAATTTCACTTGGCCATTAAAATAAGGATTTCAAGAAAACCTAAACTTAATCTTTTTGAATATAAGAATAAGTTGTTTGAAAAGAAAGCAAAAAGAGTATTCAAAAGATTAAACAAAAATATTTTTAACTAGAAAATAGAAGCTTTCTATATCTTAAGTTTTTATAAGCTAATTTTGGTATTATCAGTTTGGTAATTGACTACCAGTATATGTAATCGATTACCAAAGGATGAAAACTTCTCTGTTCAAAATTGAAATGTTAAACGTGCTCTGGTAATCAAGTACTAGTTCTTGTAATCGATTACCAGAAGATGAAACTTCAAAATTTGAATTTAAAAATTATACAACATTTCAAACATTTTGAACTTAAATCGTTGTAATCAATTACCTCTTGTAATCGATTACCAGTGCCTATTTTCTGAAAAATTATAGAAAGTTACAACTCTTCACGAAAAGACATAACCTAAGAAACAATTGTCTATAAATACCTATAATTTTTCAGAGAAAGGTTACGAACTCTATTGTGAAAATAATTTACAAAAACTACTTGGCCAAAGTCATTTGCAAAATCTCTTAAGAGTTCTTTAAGGTCATCAAAGTGTAATATCTACTCTTCAAAGAGAGTCATTATGTAAAACTTAATTGATCTGTAAAGGAGAAAGGGTTTTTCTCCTTGTTGGTTTTTGAATCTCAACACAAGGAAAGGAAGTTCCGAGGTGTTGGAGGATTCAAGTCTTGTAAGGTTTACAAGAGTAGTGGAAATCTCAAGTGGGAGACTTGAGGACTGGATGTAGGCATGATTGGCCGAACCACTATAAAATCAAGTTTGTAATTCTTCTTACCTACACTTTTATTTATTTGTTATTTAATTGTGTTTGAGTTGTTCTACATCATCATTCTTTACATAAAAATTTATCTAATGAATTAAATTGATAAGAAAGTAATTGGAAAAGTTTTTACGCTTTAATATGAAGTTGAATGGTAGTTATTATGTTATTTCTAAGTATTTTTAACATATTTTTTATATTAAGTAAAAACTCTTGCGAGTTTACGATACAAGTTTACAGAGCCTCCACGAGATTATGTAAATATTTACTTTTTATGTATTTTTAAAATTTTTTTCGTTGTAGGTGTAGGTTATCTGAGAATTTTGCATTTGGAACGGCCCGTTCTGCAACCAGAACGACCCGTTCTGCATGCAGCCTCGTAGTGTTATTTTTGCATCTGGAACGGCTCGTTCTTAAACCAAAACGGGCCGTGCTAGAGTTGAGTTTTTCACATAACCTAAATGTTGGAATGACCCGTTTTAAACTAGGGATTTTAGCCCTTTTTTGTAGTTTGGAACGGGCTGTTCAGCTTTTGGAACGACTATGCTTTTCTATTTTTATTTTTTTTAATGTAATATGAATTTTAATGTTTAGTTTATAAACTATTATAATTATACATATTTGGACATGTTTTCGTAGTGTAATGTGCAGGTTATCCATATTTTTCATTATTAGTCACAGTTTGACTCATACAAGTTTCGAATCTATTAAGACAAGGTCCCATTATTATCATCTCGTGTTTTTAAGTTTAAGACACTATAGTTTCATACTTCAAAGGTGTTTCCTTTAAATCTAGCTTCAAACTTAGCATTGCAGCGAACACAATTTACCCTTTCAACACAAACACAACGTAGTCTGAAAGAGTAACATCAAGTAATTAAATTTATTGAATATTAACATTATAAATATAACTAAATAAAGTTATTAAAACTCATTACAACAATAAAATCAATGGTGACGGGAACTAAATCCATGACCAATATTTGAACATGTCTTCCTAGTGTGACTAGAGGTGTGACAATAGGAATAAATTTTTACACAATTTTGTTGTTCTCTAATATCTATCTCTGTTCTAATCCTTCGTATACCTTTTCAACTTGTTGTAAGGTATATATGGGAGACATGTAGGTTTGATAGTTGTGATGTGCATGTAAGCATGAAGCGAGCAAGGGATATGAACTTTTTGGAACTTGCCACAATCACACCATATTTCATCTAGCCTGCCTCTTTGAACGAAAAAATTGTTGCAACGAGTGTATGTGGCCATTATCATGGAACAAATTGGCAGATTTCGTGTTTTCTTCAATACAGAATTAATAGACTCAACTAGGTTTGTTGTCATGTGTCTCCAACGTCATCCATTGTCCCATGCTAGTGTCCTTTTTTTCCTAGGAATGTTGTCTAACCATTGGGCTGCTTCAGCATTAGTATCTCTTATTATGTTGTAATAGTAAAAGAATCTAGGTTCAGTCATCCCATAGGCTGAAAAAAAATAATTAAATAATAAAAACTAATTATTAAATGTTTTTTTAAAAAAATTAATGATAAAATTACCCATGTTGACGACATCCTTCTCCAGTGTTGCATTTTTGAATCGTCGCATGAAGTTTTGTGCAGTGTGTCGAATACAATAAACATGAAAAAAATTATTTTCTGTCTAACCACTTCCATTTCTTGAATATGCACTTCGAATAGCCTCATTGATGGAACCTTCAAGTGAGAAAGCTCCATGGATGCTTCAAAAACTTCTCCTCGGTTCCTTGTGGTTGATGCAAGGAGTAGAAAACAATGAAGAGAAGCCAGTGTAGCCGAGAGTGAGCTTCCAATTCCTATTAGAAGCAAAGCCAACCTAGCTCTACAAAGAGAGAAGCTCAAGTAGAGAAGGAGAAAGGATCATAGAGGTGACTTTCGGTGGGAGAGAATTTACAAGAATGAATTCTCATATATTTCCAAAAGTGACTACAAATCCGGCCAAGGTGAATTTATAGGGAAGAAAGTGTAGTGAGCAAGTTTGGCTTGACCCAAGGTTAAGTTAAACCATACCATGGTTTAACTAACCTTAGGCGCCAAAATTTGAATGTTTAAATTCAAATTTTGGTGCCAAATCCGGTCACCACCATGTGCGCCTCACATCTACATGTAATTTGGTATTCATTTAGGAATCATTTCGGTCACACTATGTGCATGTGTGCACATGGCCGAAATGCCTACTAAATGGAATACTAATTACATGCAAATTGAAATGCACATGCTAACCTAAATTAACCCTAAATTCACATGGCAATGAAATGAAATTCTTAATCTAGGTGGCCAAAATACAAGGCCCAAAAATACAATACAAGCCCAAAGGCTCAAACCTATACTACAACCTATTCTACTTGGGCTTGAGTTAAAGCCCAACTAAAGATGACTATGGGCTTCTCTTGAACATTGGCCCATTCTTCATGCATCCTCTTGGCCATAGCCCTAGTAGTTGGGCCTTTGGCCCATGGGCCTCCATCACTCATGAAGATCAGAAATTAGGCACAAATCGTCTTGCGGTGTTACATACCGCCTTAAGTTCTTAAGAAAAAAAAAACCATGCATCGCTAGTTTCACCTTCAACAACAGCAAATGCAATAGAAATTATGTTGTTGCGACCATCTTGCGCAACTACGACCAATAATGTACCTTTGTATTTGCCGTATAAAAAGGTTCCGTCAACTTAACAATTGGTTTGCAGAAGGCAAAATCATCAATGCATGGTTTAAAGGTCCAAAATAACCTTTTGAATATAATATTCCCCTCTTTCCCAGAACGGGCCTTCCAAAGCCAGAACGGCCCGTTCTAAACTTCTAAAAAGGCCTAAAAACCTAGTTTAGAACGGCCCGTTCTGGTTTTAGAACGGCTCGTTCTGGGTGTTAGAACGGCCCGTTCTGACTTTTGAACGGGCTATTTCAGATGCAAAATTAACGCATGTTCAAGCAGAACGACCCGTTCTGGTTGCAGAACAGGCTGTTCCAAACGCGCGAAAAAAATAAAAAAAAAAGTGAACAGTAAATGATGCTAATTGGGAAAATAAATTTGCAAAGTTGCTATTTGGGTAAATTTTTTTTAAAAATATATTATTTGAGTAAAAAATTCTCACTATACACTGTCAATATAAAGTTTTTTTATACTGACAACCAATTATATCTTTTAATTGTGTCATCTCACTATAAACATATTATAGTGACATGACATAATTAAAAGATATAATTGATTGTCGGTGTAAAAAATTTTACACTGCCAGTATATAGGTGATTAACTCTAAATATTATATGTTGCATGTTTATATAAAATTAGGAAAGCACCTTTTGTACTTTTCTCTAATAACTTTTATTTTTTATACTTTGTAATTTAATTTTTATTTAATATTTATTATTAAACTTTATTTCCTTCCGACCTCCTTTCATGGATTTCTGGATCCGTCGTCTCTGGTAGGAAACATGATGGAGGACTCTAATACCAATTGATAAGAACTTCAGGAGAATCACACACAAAAGCTAGTTCATGTAGTTAGAGAGCCAAAAGCTTTATAAATCCCACGCTAGAATCCCTTACTTCCAATCCACAATGGGATCCTAACAGTTTGTAATTTTCTTTTTCTGTTTTTTAATTTTTTAATTTTTAATTTGTGTTTTTAATCCAACCATTATACATTATTCTATGGTCAATAAGATCTCTCAAACTCTCACAATAAACCAGTTCTTTAAGTACATGTTTGGTTCCACATCCATGATTCACTTTTAACCAAGAATCAAATTAAAATTGATGCAAAAACAACTAATTATTGCTTCCAGTGATCTACATCCAACCCAAATTGACGTGAATCGAAGCATCTCTAAATGATTTATGCGCTTATAATTAGTAAATTTTCCATTTCAAGTGTAGAATTTGTGTTAAATTGTGGTGCTTGCTAAATTACACCTCTAACTTTCCATGTGTTTATAACATATATGAGCATGAAACATTTTCATATCTCAATATATCTAACATATAACATTGACTACTCTTATGAATCAGGGACCACAATATGTGTGTACAACTTTCTCGACATTTGTCTGCACAAATTGCAGTGGGATACAGTAAGTATTAAATCATTTTGCGTGTTTGTTTCTCACAGATTAAGGCCTCTGATGGATTCATATATATTTATTTGAGTAGATAGTCATTTTGGTTCTGAAAGTGGTGAGCGTTGTCAAAGTAGCCCAAATAACTAAGAAAATATCAAATAATTTCATAAACTCAACTACTTATTATTATCACTTTGTTCACACATTTTTTGAATTTTGGATGAATTTGATTGTTAATATATATTTTGAATAGCTTATTTGATATTTTTTTTTTAGTTTTAAAGATTAATATAAAAGCGTATTTTGAATTAAGAGACCAAAATGACCATGTACTCGTATTACTTTCCTTGTGCACTCTATCCTATTTTCACTTCATTTAATTGTGCACTGAAGATTGATTTTCTGATCATTGTTCATAGTTATTTGTGTGTACTTACTATGTTGTATCAACTACAGTCGAGAGTTTACGCATAGAGTAAAATCCGTGTCAATGGCTAAATTTACTCCAGAAGAAGTCACAGCCCTTCAATCAGGTGGCAATGAGGTATGCATGATCATGCTACTTTTTGGCTCAAATTTCAAGCTACTAGTAATTTGGTGACCAACATCTAACATTAGTCCATGCACAGAGAGCAAAGCAGATTTATTTTAAAGAATGGGATCCTTTGCGTCATTCTTACCCTGATTCAAGGTAATTTTCCATTGCTGTTGTTTGGATACAGATTAGAAGTGTACTCTGTAAAAAAAAACTCTTTATTTTTGACAGAAACTTTCAAAATTTCTTTTAAGCCTACATATAAGCAGACTCAGCTTATAAAAATAAGATGAAAAGAGCTTTTAGCAAAGTCATAAGCCTAAATAAGCTCTTCCAAACACTCCTTATATATTTTCAAACCTGCCACGAGTATTCTCAGTCCATTGGCCAGCTAATCACATCCATTATACATGAACAAACTCTTATTTGATAAGATTGAATAAATGCTTAATTATGCTATTTAGTATTTATCCACATGTACCTTATAGTAATATAGTTCATGTAGCTTCTCTTCTAAACCAAATCTTTGCTTCCAGTAACATGCACAGACTTCGAGATTTCATTAAGCGTGTCTATGTGGAAAGAAAATTTTGTGGTGAAAGTTGTAGTAGCAGTCTTCCTAAGATTAAAATGGTAAATTTTATATACTCTTCTACATCATTATCATGACTTTAACAACAACAGATGATTGAAACTGAGTTCATTTTGGTGCTTTTTGTATTCAGAATGAGAAGGAGGAGTCCTATGCAAGTAAGAAGAGTAGTACATTTCGTCTTGAGTTCAGAGGTCTTAATTCAAGTCCTGGTCCAAGAAATGATGACGCGAGTTTCAGATATTTATATGATGAAAGCAGAAGTCCTAAATATACACAAAAGTATTCAAGGCATGGTGGCCAAGCCAGAAGTCCAATAAAATTTGAAGTTGTTGATGACAGGTTAAAAGATGAGGAGCGTAGAAGTCGCAGGCTTTCAAATATAGAATCAAAGCTAAAAAATATTTCAATTGATGGTAAGAGGAGTGTGGAAATAACCCCACTCCCTATTCCACGTCCTTTGGGAGATATATTAAAAGAGAATGCTCCATCTCTACAAGTTGGTGAACCTCCTCTTATCATGCATTTAAGTGTTCAAGCATGTGGTTTCATAGCAATGTGACCCCTCACCCCTACCCTCTTTTTTTTTTGAGCTTCCTGTGATGCGCTTGCATTAAATATGCCATCAAAGGAATGTTGCTATCTGAAGGAAATATCAGAAAAACTAATTCTTCTACTAAGTGTCTTAGTTTATCATGCATAATTTGGTGTTGTCTATGTATTCCTCTCATGATTTTGATTTCTCAATGTACTTTCGCATGATGTTGAAATTTTTTATTTTATTTTATTTTATTTTAACAGAATAATCAAGAACATTATTTTTGTTTGTCATACATAGAGTCCATATTTTAGGAGACCACATTGCAGTTGAAGAATGTTAGAGACAGTCTTTTTAGCTTTTTATTATTGGCTGAAATACATTAAAAATCACAAATTTTATGAGTCTCGTGTCATAGTTAATATGTCTCTCTCCTTATTTAGTGGTAGGATTCTTTAAAATTTGTGATTTCCAACCAATACTTGAAAGATTATTAGCTGAGAGTGTTAGAGAGAGTACAGATACTGCTAGAGAGAGTTTGCTAGCATTTCTCCATTGAAGTTTTATGACGTTATGGATTACCACTTGAACTGAATCTTTGATAAATTTTAATTATAAAGGTCACACATTCTGGTGGTGGGGGTTCTGTTGAGGAAAATCCATCCGAACAAAAAGCTAATAATCCAGAAAGCATCATTGATCTGAGTACCGAGTCTCAGGATTCTCATGCTGCTGTTGGAGTTGGACAAGAAGCACCACATGCAACACAATCCAATGAAAGTAACTGGGCCGTATTTGATACTTCAACAGAGAACAATAATCCTAAACCTCCAAATACAAATACCATGAAACCTACAACAGAGGCAGCATCTGAAGCAGCAACACCTGCAAAAAATCCTATAGACCTTTTACTTTTTGAATTATCAGGCCCCGTGACTCCAGCGACTGGTGGCATGTCACAAGTCCAAAGTGGTGATAACAATGATCCAAATCCAGCAACTACAACAGTAGAAAATGCTAGTATTTGGGACTTACCAACTACTTCAACAGGGCAGACAACTGCACCACCCAACAATACTAGTGTTTGGTCATTTCCACCAACCCCAGCCACTGAGTTAGCACAACCTTCTAATGAAGTTCCTCCACATACTGAAGTTTCACATGCACATAAACCATCAAGCATGCAATACCTTCCTTCTGTATCGGCAGGTTGTAGTTCAACCACACAACCAAATACTGAAGCTTCACATGCACATAAACCATCAAACATGCAATATCTTCCTTCTGTATCGGCAGGTTGTAGTTCAACCACACAACCAAATACTGAAGCTTTACATGCACTTAAATCATCAAACATGCAATATTTTCCTTCTGTATCGGCAGGTTGTAGTTCAACCACACAACCAAATACCGAAGCTTCAGATGCACATAAACCATTAAACATGCAATATCTTCCTTCTGTATCGGCAGGTTTTAGTTCAACCACACAACCAACAAATTCACCACTCAAACATGTAGCTTCAAATAATCAGGTGAGATATGCTTCATGGCTTTCTTGACATAAAGCATTGAAGTCTCAACATTACTGTCAATTTCTTTGGTAAAAATCTAGCTTATACCATTGCATCATCCTACAACAGGAAGTAAAATTACCAATAAAATTTTCTAATGTTATATATTGAAATGTTTAGAAGAAGCAGATGCCAACATTGTCTTGGTATTTGAGAGCCTTAATTTCATTTCTTCTTGTCTACTTACTTTGTTACTCATCTTGTTCTTTAATTTGATTACAACCAGGCTCCTACTAAAAATGACTCTTCATGTGCTGTTGAATTATCTTCTCAAACTACCTCAAAACCTACTCAAGAAATTATGCTTGACGTTGGCTCCCATCTCAGTAAAGTAGAAACCGGGTCAAGTGGAAGACAGGCACTTCCAGAGGTAACAGATGTAGGACCTGTTTGGATAAATAAACTTTTCTAAAAACACTTTTAAAGTTATAAGAGAAAAAAATGAGAAGAAAAAAAATGAAATATGCTTCTTCGTAAGCTAAAATTAGCTTATGCATATGTTAATTTGTAGAAACTCTCTCATATAACTTTTTAAAATATTAAAAATAAACTTAAACTAGTTTTAGCTTATAGACAAGATTATTTCATTTTTCTTTCATATTTTTTTCCTACCCATAAATTTCTCTGAAAAAGTTTATCTATATAGGTCAGTAGCCATCTGTCACAATTTTTTTTGTTTTTGTTTTTTTTATAAGACGAAAGAACCTTGATGCATGAATATATTCTTTGTAGGACCTTTTTACATCAAGCTTCTTATCTGGCCCTGCACCACTTGCAAGTTGGATGAATGTTCAACCTCAAGGCATGGGATATGGCATGCAGTATTATCAAGTAGTACCATTCTATGCAATTCATTACCAACTTTGTCTCTTTTGTTGGTTTAGATATGGATTTCTGATTAATTGATATGATGCTTCATTTACAGCCTCCCTCAGCCCTTCCTTCTGTACCAATGACAGCAAACCCCTTTGAATTAACTGATGGAAGAAGTCTAATCCACGCCTCATCGGTATGTACAGAATAAAACTGATTTAATGTAGTAAGTTTTGATGCAGTTCCATTGCAAACAGTTTTAGCTTGTTCCTGCAATTAAGCCTGAAATTTCTGATGCAATTCAAAGCATAGAGTAAGAAAGAAATAACTCTCAAGTTGGCAAATGAGAAAAGTTTTATATAATTCAGAGCCATCGAGATGAAATAATCACATAACTAAAAGTAAATGTATATCAAGTCCAGCGTAGAGTTAATCCCTATACCATCTTAATGTATTATTTCCCTCTTGCATTATATTGGTCTACGTTAATGAGCATGCAGGATCCAATCCATCAATACATTACAATCAGTACAGTTGTTTACAAGTAGCAACGCTATAAGAAGGGCTTACTTTTTGGCCTGAGATATAAAAAGTTTTATGTTGAGAGGATTTAACTTGTAATTGTATTCATGAACCTTGTACCAAGTACCAACTCTACGCTGTATGCCAAAAACTTGTTGATACTATTGATTGTTTTGAGTAAACATGAACACATTGTGAAAAAGTGTTAGATTTTGGTACTAATTTATGACTAAATTCAGATTATAGAACTTTAATGCTACTTTATATTATGTTATTTTTATTTTTTAGGAAAATGCGTTATCTGATCTTGTGCTCTCAACCTCTTGTTTTCCTTACTTAATTCTTGAATAAAATTTGCTCCAAACAACCTCATTGGCATGTATTGTTTATCTTGAAGTATAAGTCTTCATCACATGCTCTTTCTTCAGTGTTATCAAGCTGTTTTCTTTAAATTACATTTTTGAATGAAGCCAATAAATTGTTTTAACCTTCAAGACTGGTTGTATTTTTCTATGTATAGCTTCCTTGTATGGCATCTTTGCATGGTGTACCGCCAACTGTATCACCCAGAACAGGATTAATTCATGCTTCAAGCGTTGGGTCTTTGGTGTCTCAGTCCCCATGTTATGGATCCCCAATTTCTATGGGTATTGTCCTAGTTATCTTCCATTTCCTTTGAAGATTTTTTCTTTATTTTCTGTTGTCATGATTATTTTTGTTCACTCTTCTCAGGTGTGTACATTGATCAAATTAATAAAGAGGAGCAATCCACAGGGTAAATCCTATTCTTGTATAGTCACTGGATTATAAGCTATGAAGCATGTTACCAAGCTAGATTCTCTTCATCTAAAACAATACACGAGCTATTTCTTATTGTTAGAAAATTGCCTAGAATAGACATAAAAAAAATAACTTCTTTTTTGGGTCTAAAGCAAGGGCTTAGACCCTCTTATGTTTGAGCCAGCCTAAGTTGGAATAGATGTAAAAAATAAAATACACTCCAATGCAATTTGTTGGGAATTCTTACTCTTGGTTCTTGGTGATTAAAAAGTGGATACTAATGTTAGAAATTATCATTTTGTATATTTTGGGCAAATTTAGATAAACTTCTCCAGAAATATTTCTTGAAAAAAAAATAAGAAAGAAAAATGAAATAATTTTTTTATAAACTAAAATTAGTTAATGCGTAATTTAAAAATAAGTTTTTAGAGGGACTGTATAAGAGAGTTTCTCATAATTAACTTATGCATAAACAAATTTTAACTTATAAAGATGTTCATATCATTTTTCTTTCCTATTTTTTCTCTTAGAAGTGCTTTTAAAAAAATTATCCAAACAATTTTTTTTTTCTTTCTGAGGGATGGTTTTATGTTTACAATCATGAGTTATTTTCCGAAGACTTCACGCCTTTCTCAAGAACACATGTCATTCTTATATTTATGCTGCCAAATACTACTATGTGTGTATCTTTCTGCATATGTTTATTGTTTAAGGTTTCTTAATGATAAGATGATATTCTCAGTTGAAAATCTGAATCCTATTCTAATTGTAACTGCTTTTTAATATTCTGTAGACCACAAAGAACTCAGAGCTTCAACAGTATGACTGCTTTTGAATCTCTAGACCCCATTCAACAGTCGAATAGGGCATACACGAACCCCAAAACTGCACATTGCTTCTCCAACACAAGTGGAAACCCATTTGACTAGTTTAAATAACTTTCCTTACTATGTCCACCACGAAAATTGGATCCAGAATCACTATGATCCTGTCATTACTGTACCAAGTAAAGTTAGTTTAGTTACCTTTGTAAATTGCAATGTAAATATAAACACATGGTATGAACATATTCCCCTAGTACATGCAGAAAAGTTTACGCACAGGTGAATCTCACAATGCTTGTAATCAACTTATTTAACCATACAAAGCAAACCTGCATGATTGTTACCTGTATTTATTGGAATTACATGTAAATTTTTACATTTCTTTTACATAACAATACAAGTAAGATATTTTCTTGCTCATCATGGGTAGAACTTAGGGATGGAGAAATGAAATGATATCTTTAGCTTTAATTGTTGCCAGAGTATTAGGCTTTATAGTAATGTTGACTTGATTTCAAAATATAATGGTGAATGTTGTTACTGGTAGTAAAAGGTTCAACTATATAACTTGGTTATTTTTTATTTTTGTTATTTTGTTATTATTTTTTTTTACAATTGGTAGGACTTGATATATATAATGAGGAGAGATTTACTTATTTTAAAAGTAAGTTTTGGTAAACTTACTTTATTTAGTGTGTTTTTGTTTTATTGATAGTACACATTCTTAGACAATTAAATGGAGAAGTATGTGAGAGGAAACTTTCAAATGGACGTACTTTTGTCTTTTCCAAATTAAAAACCAAACACACTCCTAATAATTTATATTCTACATCAAATTTCAATGATCCAATTGTTAAAATAAAAGTTTTTAATGTATATATGAAATTTACAAATTTTTCAAAAAATTGAAAAGTATATTATATTTCATTATATAAATTTAAATCAACATATAAAATATTTTTATGATTATCTATCAATTTGAATTAAGGAAACGAAATATCAAATAATTTCAAATTTTTTTATAAAAGATTCTAACTTAATCTATGTATTAAGAATTTTTAATTAAATAGTTAAATTCTTAAAATTTGATATAGAATATGAGTTACTACCAAAATTTACTCTTGGAGTAAGTAGATTCTTTCTCATATACAAATAGAGGAGAGATCAAACAATTCCTAGAGTAATTTTTTATAAAGTTACTCCACTCAATAGCTCATTGAATATGTTGAATTTCAACAATTCAGCCATTAACTTAAAAGTATTTAATGAATAGATTAAGTCTATATATTTAAAAAAAATTAAAAACTATTTAATACTTCATTTTATTAATTATAAAAATATTTTATACGTTAATATGAACTTATATAACAAAATAATATTTATCTGTTTTTATGATTAACGAAACGAAATATTTAATAATTTTTTAATTTTTTAAAAATTTGTAAATTTAATCTATATATTGATAATTTTTAATCTAACAGTTGAATTATTAAAATTTAATATATATAATATGCTACTAAGTAGATTAATTTTATCAAGAATTATTCTTGAAATCATTTTATCCTCTTATTATAGAGCATCTACCATGACATTAATATATTTTAAGAACATATATACCCTCGCTGCTAATATCTTTGAATGACAAGCTATATAAGCTTTCTTTCTGTTCGTCTCCCTTAGGTTGTAATTTTAATTTTTTAGTCAATATTGTGTTACTTGTACAATGTCTTCAATAGTGAAGGTACTGCAATTATGTCTATCACTGTTGGCCAGTTAAAACCAATATAAAATTGTCTACAGTTCTCGCAAATTGAGCTATATGACAAAGCATAACAATTTTAGATTACTTTAATACCATGCTTCTAATTGATAAAGAAATTCGATTCTAGAGAAAGGGACAGCCACTGCAAAATCTATACGTTCCTAGTCTCTCCCTATATGATATTCATGACCATGATTGAAATGTAACACTGAGACCTCAACTAGCATAGTTAACACAATTTGTAGTTAGAGATAATCAAAATATTGAACTCTAATGATTTATAGATCAATCATAGGAGTATCTACCTATAATATAAATCTAGAAAAGCTAAAGTAGGAATATTGATCCTCCTTGCCATGTTAAATTCTTGGTCTTTTATTTATTAATTTATTTTATATAAACTAAGTCCTACATCATAAAAATAAAAAGTTTATAAAGTAAATATACATGCTCCATTAATTAGAGAACTTTTGAATGATAACTAAAAATAAAATTATAAAAACTTATACCCAAAGTAAATAATATCAATACTATCGTGAAGTTGTGAGTGTAAATAACAAATAAAAATAATAAGATATAATAACTCTTTTCTTGATAAATATATCCCTTTCAAACAAATACAAACCCATCACATAACCATAATATTTAAGTCATATAAGCAAGATGTTCTCAACTTTTCTTCCATTGCCTCTTCCAAGTTTCTTCACTTTCACTCATAGCTAGCCAATGTTATTAGCATTTTCTTTTTAATGATAATCACCTTTTTCTTTAAATTATATCTTGATTCCTTTTGATAACTTTCTTTTCACCTTTCCAGATATGCAATCATTTTGATTTCACTAATCAAACACTATTTCTCTAGCACTTTTTGTTTTCGACTAGTTGTTCTATTCAACTTGACTCAAGCTAGAAGGAGCTTTCTCAACTGATCTTATTTTTGCCATGATCGCTTGGTCAAGAGAATCACCCTAAATCTTGCCCTTCTCAATTTCAAAGATCACCATTGGTTTCTTTACGTTTAACATCACATTACATAATTAAGCTTTCCCTGTTACTAAACGTTGTCAATAAAAATAGGGAGTGAGGCCAAGTAAGTTAACTAAAAAATTAAGGGCATGTAATCTAGGTAATTGTGGTGAAGAGAATATGCTTTGGGAGCATGCACTTTAGACTTGGCATGTGCTTCGAAGATTTTAACCCTATAAACCTCTTGCCCTTTGGGTAAAGGATAGAGGAAAATTTTGAATTAAAAACTTACAATTATTAGGCCAGAAATGAATGTGGTGTGAAGAACGATAAGAGGAAGAACCGTGTTATATATTTCTAAACTCAAATGAACATTTTATTTGTTGTTTTTCTTTTAAAGGTTGAACACCTTTTTGGGGATTCTTACTTTTGTATGCTGTTAATATTTTTTTATTCGCAACTTTCTACATAAAATGGATGAACAGAACTCTAGGGTAATCTAGCTGAGTGGAAGTTAAACGATTGTGATTCATTCATACCATATATTCCATGGCTAATCTTTTCACAAAAAAGTTATCTATTCTTATTCCTTAGCTTAACACGTTAGAGATATTATTTTGTGAGAGAATTGACATGTATGAAAAACAAATGTTGAATCTCTTCTTTTATTCATTGACAACCATGAAAACCACTTTTAATTAGATTTGACATTGATTTAGAGTTGAAAGTTGAAACAAACAATCGGAAAGGTGAAACTTTAAGAGAAATATATTAACGTATAAAAAATTTACTATAAAATATATAAATATAAATATATTTGATATACAGTAACACATAATTTTAATATTAATTTTAAATGAGATTTAATAATATATTTTGTATATATATCACTATAACCTACACATATATTTTTTAATAATATACACTATAACAAAATTTATTATTATCGACAATTATTTAACAGTAATAAATTAATTGTCTCTATTTTATTATTTATTAAAAATATTAATAACTAATAAATAATGGTCATTAAAAGTATATTTACATCATACTAAAATTTACTGTTAGCGACAATTATTTATTGAAAAAAACTTAAGTTCTACTTTGACTAAAAATAAAATAATTAAGAGTATGTAAGTGGATGATAAGTCTCACCTTACAAGTTTGTTTTGTAGGGTTGAGTTAAACCTAAAATTTATTATTCTAAGCTGGTATCAAATTACTCATCATTACCAAACTCAATAGTGCTAAACTTAAGGAAGTGTATAGAAAAAATCCAAATTTCACATCGATTATTGATAAAATAATTAATTAGGAGATAAGATAATTATAGAAGACAACCTTCATCTTACAAGTCCCACATCGACTATACCAATAAAAATTACTAATATAGAAATATTGATAAAAGATTTTACAATAATTTTTATTGTCAGTAAAAGTTCATTTTGTTGTAGTGATATATCAATATATATTATATCTATAATATAGATAAAAATAATTTAATAATAAATATTATATCATTATAAAATATGTATTATTGTGTTAGTATTTGACAATTTTTTTTTGGTGAAAGAAAAAGAAAATAACACTACTATCTAATGGTAATGGTTAATTCCTTATGGTTTTTGGGCGAATTTCAAAAGTTGAAATGGCATCATGCCCCATTTATGTTGCTTAGTTGCAAAGGCTTTTCAAAGTACACATTTCATGTATTCGAGCATCCAATCTTCAATTTTATTCGAAAAAAGGATCATATTAGCTCAAATTGAAATGTTATATTCCTTCCGTTGTTTTCTCTTTTATCATGGAAGCGAAATTCTTCCCATTGACATTGACAAGAGTCCATCCTCCGTTCAACAAAAAATTCTTGCGATAGATTCTGTAGCTGAAGCACCTTCATAGTAACTTAGTAATTAAATGTTTCATATACATGAAGGGTAGAAAAAGAAAATTCCAGCAATAACTTCAAGTTGCTGCCAACTATACAGCAATTTGAAACTCAACCATATGAATTATTAGCCTTAAATACAAACAAAGGTAAAGAAATTGAAAGAAAAAAAAAACCATTTTAGGAAACTATCATTCTTGAAACTCATCATCCATGCTGTTTTATGTAGAAGCCACTACTAGAAAATTGTCACATAGTGACACACTCTATAATATAATATATATCATTAAAAATTACTTTTATAATCAACAAAATAAATACAATATATATTAATATATTGATAAAAAATATGTAAATAGTTTATAATGATATATAAAATATGTTATTAAATATCATTAAAATAATGCTAAAATTATATATGTAATTATATATAAAAAATATAACATTTTTTATAGTAAAGTTACGATTACACTAGACAACAACATATTAGATAAAGAACACCAAGCATTGTAACCTTCTCAAAATAATCACCGATAGAAAAAAGAAAATAGTAAAAATCAACTTAAGCACTTCGAAAGTTTCTATTTAACTTCCCTAAAATTTATTTTAACTACACACAAGTTTATTCTAGTTTACGCGAGAAACTTTTAATTTATTTATTTTTTGCACATACTTGTTACAGAAAATTTTCCAAATGATACCCTACTTTTTTCTTCAGAGTTGGTCAGGGCTTCTGTGCCCCCATATGGTAGAAAATGGTTTATCATTTGTCCAATTCCTTAGCTTAAGAAGCACATGAACAACCATTCCACACAAAAAGCCAAGAGCTGCACTTGATCCCACCAGAGAAAATGCAGTGCAAATAAGCATCACAAAGGAATCTTCTTTGGTATTAATGTCCCTACAGCAGGTGGCTAATTCAATTCCAGCAAATAGGAGCAACACCCCCAAGATCCCCACTGGAAACTGCCTTAAAATGTGTGCCAAAGAACTTCCCAACACCAATCCCAATACCAACTTTGCTGCACCAAGAAGTGCCACACACCCTCCACTCCTTCCACCAAACTTATACTGCCCTGCAAGACCACCAGCTCCGTGGCAACATGGCATTGCACCAAACCAACTTCCAATCAAATTCATCAACCCCACACTCACTGACAGTGAAGTGGCAGAAAAGTCCTTTTCTGGGAACAAATCCTTTGACAATTTGCAAACAGCTATCACAGAGTTCAAAATTGACAAAGGGAGTTGAGGAATTGTACCCTTCACAAACCCTTTCTTCCATGCATGCTTAGAGAACTTCACCACTTCCATAGAGGATGGTCCAAACTTTATTTCATCCACCACCTTAGGCCTTTTCATAAAGGCCAAAACAACACCCAACACAAACACAATGAAAGCAGAAGGAAGTGAGAAAACAACCCTTCTCACTCTACTTCTCCTGTTTCTTGTCCCCTCAACCCTCTTTTGGCAACCCAAATCATAGCTTCTAGTTTCATCACCACTTTCACACCCATGATCCTTCTCACCAGCACCACTCACAACAACAATAAAACACAAACAAACTATGGCCAAAACCAACCCATCTAACCCTAACCAATGCCTATTACCCAAAGCCCTAGACTTTGGCAAGTCTTGAACTTTTCTCACGTACTTAACAGCTGTTAAAGCAAAGGACAAGCCCTGTGCTAGTTGAATTCCCCTCACAACACATAGAGGAATCAACTTATACACAAGCTCCATCAACCTTGTCACGCCCAAGAAGAACAACACGCCGCCAGTCAGGATACCGGCGGCCATAATCTCCGGCACGCCAAAGTGACCGCCGGCATCCGATAAGGCCTCGGCGGCGATGGACTTCATGGGCTGGACAGGCATGGGGACACCATAAATTGCACCAGTGATGATGTTGTAGATGCCTGTGAAGATCAATGTGGTGCCAAGGTTGAGGTCCTTGGAAAGTGCTAGAGATAGGACTATTGGTATGTAGGTGCCAAGGTCACCCATGGCACCGTTAACCTCACCCCATTTTGAACGTAGAAACAAGTTGGATTTTGCTTTCTGAATGATCACGTTGCCTGAGAAACGTGTGGTTGGAGCGGTTTGGCTTGTTTCAGGGTTTGAGATTGGAAGTGAAGGGGGGTTTTGATTTTCCATGCAAAGTGTTTAGGTGTATATTGTACAGTAAAACACTGGTTGTATGGAGTGAGTGCGAATGGAATGAGATTAACTAGTTATTTATACAGTTGAGAGATGCTAAAGAATATAACTTTTTGGGAATGGGCACTCTTTTCAATACATTTTAATATTGAAAAATTGTATCATTGCTAAAAAAATTTATTAGAAAAATTATATATATATATATATTTATTTATTTATTTATTAAGTCCGTTGAATATGTGATAAATTAAATTTTGATCTCACAAATTAAAAATTGAACATAACTTATTTTAATTTTTCTACCAAAATATGTTTTTAGTAAATTAATAAAATACACTTATTACTTAATCTGTCACATTACAACCATGAGGTGGCAAAGAGGTTAACAGAGTTATTTTCCTACATGAAACATGGTCTGTTATGGAAGTGACTCACAAGGCAATTAACCAAGCAATGCCTTACAAGTCCAGCCCAAATCTGTTTTAGAAGACTCTTTTTCCATCCACCATGACACTGTACAAGTGTTGAAAATTACATGTAATAATGATGAGAAACATAATTAAAATAATACTATAAAAAATAGAAAAATTATAGAAATTTATTTAACGTAATTCAGTCTCTTATGTTTAGGTTTATAAGGATGTTCATTATCTATCTCAAAATGTATTACATATATGAAAATTCTCTTTTCAAGTTTTGTGGGTGAAACTTGAAAATTTCTTCTTCATAAGTTTTATGGGTGAAACTTGAAAATCCCTCGTTCACAAGTTTTTCTGGGAAAACTTAAAAACCCTTGTTCATAAATTTTTTGGTGAAACTTGGAAACCCTTTTTTATATGATATCTTCTCTCATTTAAGGCGGTGACCCCTTTATAGGTTAGGTAATTCTTTTCATCCTAAGAGTCTCTATTTATTGACCTTACATTATAATCTTAAAAAAGAAAACAAATATCTAAAATAAATACAATATATTTCAATTATAAATGATATCCTAAAATAATCAATATCTTTTAAAATTTAAATAATATCTTAAATATTTTAAAGAAATTGTGATGGTAATCTGATCATTTATTCAACCAATATGATTACATATATATACATCTCATGGTCCTTATAATTAGGCTAAACAGATTCCTACGAATTCCTATAGTTTCTCCTATAGTCATGATAAAGTATAGATCACCACGAGATTTGATTACAATCCCACTATTTTAGGTGGTGCAAATAGATTTCTATCGAAAAGGAAACGATATATTTAATATATTTACAAAGATATTATATTACCCCCCCTCAAGTTGGTGCATGAAGATTCCGAGTTCCCAACTTGGTAAGGAAAGAAGAGAAACAGTGCACACCTTAATGCCTTGGTGAATATATCTGCGAGTTGAGAGCGCATGGAAACATAAGAAGGCAGCAAGGTCCCTTTGATAATCTCATCACATATATACAAAATGACAATCAACTTCAATATACTTTATGCGTTCATGAAATACGAGATTATTGGCAATGTGAAGAGCAGCTTGGCTATCACATTTTAGAAGCATAGGCACGAAATGATATATGCCAAGACTCAATAGTATACTTTTGACCCACTTTAGTTCACAAGTGGTGGTAGCCATGGAGCAATACTCAACTTCAATAGAAGAATGAGATACAATATATTGCTTTTTAGTTTTCCAAGAGATAGGGAAATGACCTAAGAGAACAATCCATCTAGTAAGGGACCATCTAGTTAGAGGGCAAGTAGCCCAATCAGCATCACACCACTTGGTCAGTCGCAAATCACAAGTACTATCTAACAAAATTCCTTGCCCTAGGGTGCTTGTGAGGTAGCAAACCACACGTAAGGTAGCCTCCCAATTCTCCACACGAGGTTGTTGCATGAATTGAGAAAGAATGTGTACACAATATGATAGTTCCAACCTTGTAAAACACAAATATATGAGACGACCAACTAATTGTCTATACTTATCTAGGGAAGTAAGACATGGTCCCTTGGCAAGACTGAGATGATGATTTTGTTCCATCAGAGTAGTCATAGGTCTTGTGCCAAGGAGTTTTGCCTCAGTGATGATATCTAATGAATATTTCCTCTGACAAAGAAATAGCCCACATTGTGATCGTGTGACTTCAACACTTAGAAAGTATTTTAACTTACTCAAATCTTTCATATGGAAGCATTGACTTAGATTAAGATTTAAATCACTGAATTGCGGTAGAACCATTACCTCCAATAATTAAGTCATCAACATAGACTAACACAACAAGGTGCACCTGTTTGTGAAACAAAGTGACACTACAAAAAAAAGTCATTTTAGCCACCGAAATTAGCGATCGAATTATTTTCGTCGCTAATAGTGACTTAATTAGTGACCGAATTTGACTCGGTAGCAAATTTTATTTAGCGACCGAAATTTGTAGTGGCTAACAATCGGTCGCTAAATCGGTCGCTAACATAACAAATGTTTGTTAAATTAGCGACGGAACGGTTTCAGTTGCTAACAAAATTAAAATAATATTATTCATGATGATTTTAGCGACCAAATAGAAAATCGGTCGCTAAAAAAATAAAATAATATTATTTTATAACAATTTTAGCGACCAACTAAAATCAGTGGCTAAAAAATAAAAAAAAAATTATTATTTATAATAAGTTTAGCGACTGAAATATAATCGGTCGCTACATAAATAAAAATAAATATTATTTATAATAATTTTAGCGACCACAATAAATTCGGTCGCTAAAAAAAGAAAAAAAATATTATTTAAAATAGAGTTAGCGACCAACTCAGAATCGGTCGCTAAAAAAAATATATTGATTATTTATAGTAACGTTAGCGACCGAATTGTAATCAGTGGCTAAAAAATATTAATATTTTTGAAATAATTTTAGCGACCGAAATATAATCGGTCGCAAAATATATAAAAAATAATATTAATTATAATAATTTTAGCGACCACAATAAATTCGGTCGCTAAAAAAATAAAAAAAAATATTATTTAAAATAGAGTTAGCGACTAACTCAAAATCCGTCGCTAAAAAAAATATATTGATTATTTATAGTAACGTTAGCGACCGAATTGTAATCAGTGGCTAAAGAAAATTAATATTTTTGAAATAATTTTAGCGACCGAATTTATATCGGTCGCAAATAAAATAAAAAATTATTATTTATAATTCCGACGAAAGTTGGATCGGTCGCTAAAAGAAAAAAATATTATTATTTTACAATAATTTTAGCGATCACAGGTAAATCAGTCGCTAAGTGAATAAAAAAATATATAATATATATAGTAATTTTAGCGACCGAATTAGAAATGGCATTTTCGTAATTATTGATGGCATTTTCGTAATTTTAATAAAGGAATAAGGGTATTTCTGGGTGTCGGAACGGGCCGTTCCAAATGCAGAACGGGCTGTTCCAAAAGAAAGAATATGTTTGTTTTTAAAGACCCAGAACGGGCCTGGAACGGGCCGTTCTGGTATGGAGAACGGGCCGTTCTGGAAGCAGTACGGGACGTTCTGCTGAGATTAAGAACAGGCCATTCTGGTTTCAGAACGGGCCGTTCTGCTTTTTGGGAACGGGCGTTCCGATTTTGGAACGGGCCGTTCCAGTTGAAAAATTTGCCCATGTTTGAAGGATCCGGAACGGGCCGTTCCGAAATCAGTACGGGCCGTTCCGGGTGCGTTAGATTTTCTATAAATAGGGCCAAGGGGGGGGTGAAAATTTTATACTGAGTGAGAAGTGAAATC